TAGTATTTTTTGAACAAGACGACACTCAAAAACATGTTTTTTATTTCTCATAGGAAAATAAGGATTTTGCAGTTAAAAAATCATCACAATTGAGATAGGGTGGGTGGGCGGGCTGACATTTTGCCTCTTTGTTTTAATATGTGTAGACTTATCTCGACAACAAGAAACTTAAATCATGTTTAAAATGGTAAATTTGTATAGTAATCAACTTAAATCTTCAACTTTTCTTCTACAACCTCTTTAAATATGGCAAAAGTTGAACATCAAAGTTACTATCAACGGATTTCATTTTTGTTTAATAATTTATTTTACCGTTTCAATCAGCAAGAAAGTACGAATCAATAAATTCATAAAAAACCTATTAAAAATGCATTAATTAAGTATACTCCGCCCTCTTGGCTCACGATGAATAAAAAAAATCATCACAATTAAAATCGGGTGGGTGGGCGGGGCTTACATGTTGCCTGTTTTTTTAATATACAAAGTCATATTTTCACAACAAAAACTTAAAACAGATGACTACGTATATTAAGAAGAAAAAAGGCAACATGTCTGCCTCGCCCACCCACCCTATCTCAATCGTGCTATTTTTTTTTACTCGTTGTAAGTAGTGGGGCAAAGCTTAATTGCAAAAGTTCTTGTTTTTCTAGCAGAAATTGTCTTGACTCACGACGAATCAAACAATCAAAAATTTATGTTGCTTTTTTTCATATACGTAGTCATATTTTCACAACAAAAACTTAAAACAAAATGACTACGTATACTAAGAAAAAAAAAAGGCAAAATGTCTGCCCCGTCCACCCACCCTGTTTCAATCGTGCTAATTTTTTTTTACCCGTCGTAAGTTGTGGGGCGGAGCTTAACTACAAACTACTCTTATTTTTTACAAGAAATTAAAAACATGTTTTTGAGTATCATCTTGTTCAAAAAATACCATGTATATTAAGAAAAAAAAAGGCAAAATACAAAGCCCGCCCACCCACCCCATCCTTGTTGTGATGAGTTTTTTTATTTATAGAAACTTAAAACACGTAAAATGGTAAATTTTTGTAAAGAAATATGGTTTTTGCAATTAGACTCCGCCCCTAGGTTTACCAACGAATGGAAAATTCATCACAATTGACAATTGAGATCGGGGCGGGTATGGGTGAGGCCTAATTTTTTACTTCAATTTTTTTCTTAATGTAGATAGTATTTTTTTAACAAGACGACACTCAAATCATGTTTTTAATTTCTCGTAGAGAAATAAGGATTTTGCAATTAAAAAAATCATCACAATTGAGATAGGGTGGGTGGGCGGGGCTACATTGTGCCTGTTTCTCTTAATATGTGTAGACTTATTTCGACAACAAGAAACTTAAATCATGTTTAAAATGGTAAATTTGTATAGTAATCAACTTAAATCCTCAACTTTTCTTCTACAACCCATTTAAATATGGCAAAAGTTGAACATCAAAGTTGCTATCAATGGATTTAATTTTTGTTTAATAATTTATTTTACCCTTTCAATCAGAAAGAAAGTACGAATCAATGAATTCACAAAAAAAAGACTATTAAACAATGCATCAACTAAATATACTCCACCCTCTTGGCTCACGATGAATAAAAAAAATCATCACAATTGAAGTCGGGTGGGTGGGCGGGGCTTACATGTTGCCTCTTTTTTTTAATATACGGAGTCATCTTTTTACAACAAAAACTTAAAACAGATGACTGCGTATACTAAGAAAGAAAGAAACAACATGTCTGCCCCGCCCACCCGCCCTATCTCAATCGTGCTAATTTTTTTTACCCGTCGTAAGTAGTGGGGCGGAGCTTAACAACAAAATACTTATTTTTTACAAGGAATTAAAAATATGTTTTTGAGTATCATCTTGTTCAAAAAATACCATGTAGATTAAGAAAAAAAAGGCAAAATACAAATCCCGCCCGCCTATTGTGATGAATGTGATGAATGTGTTTATTTATAGAAACTTAAAACACGTTTAAAATGGTAAATTTTTGTAAAGAAGTATGGTTTTTGCAATTAGACTCCGCCCCTAGGTCTGCCAACGAATGGAAAATTCATCACAATTGACAATTGAGATCGGGCGGGTATGGGTGGAGCCTAATTTTTGACTTAATTTTTTTTCTTAATCTAGATAGTATTTTTTGAACTAGGCGATACTCAAAAACATGTTTTTAATTTCTCGTAGAAAAATAAGGATTTTGCAATTAAAAAAATCATCACAATTGAGATAGGGTGGGTGGGCGGGGCTACATTGTGCCTGTTTCTCTTAATATGTGTAGACTTATTTCAACAACAAGAAACTTAAATCATGTTTAAAATGGTAAATTTGTATATTAATGAACTTAAATCCTCAACTTTTCTTCTACAACCACTTTAAATATCGCAAAAGTTGAACATCAAAGTTAGTATCAACTTTCATTTTTGTTTAATAATTTATTTTACCATTTCAATCAGAAAGAAAGTACGAATCAATGAATTCATAAAAAAAACCTATTAAAAATGCATTAATTAAGTATACTTTGCCCTCTTGGCTCTCGATGAATAAAAAAATCGTCACAATTAAAGTCGGGTGGGTTGGCGGGGCTTACATGTTGCCTGTTTTTTTAATATACGAAGTCATATTTTCACAACAAAAACCTAAAACAGATGACTACGTACGTTAAGAAAAAAAGATGACTAGGTATACTAAGAAAAAAAGGCAAAATATAAGCCCGCCCACCCATCCTATCTTTATTGTGATGAATTTTTTTATTCATAGAAACTTAAAACACGTTTGAAGTAGTAAATTTTTGTAAAGAAGTATGGTTTTTGCAATTAGACTCCGCCCCTAGGTCTGTCAACGAATGGAAAATACAGCACAATTGACAATTGAGATCGGGGCGGGTATGGGTGTGGCGTAATTTTTGGACTTAATTTTTTTTTCTTAATCTAGATAGTATTTTTTAACTAGACGATACTCAAAAACATTTTTTAATTTCTCGTAGAGAAATAAGGATTTTGCAGTTAAAAAATCATCAGAATTGAGATAGGGTGGGTGGGCGGGCTGACATTTTGCCTCTTTGTTTTAATATGTGTAGACTTATTTCGACAACAAGAAACTTAAAACATGTCTAAAAGGGTAAATTTTTATAGTAATCAACTTAAATCCTCCACTTTTCTTCTACAGGCACTTTAAATACGGCAAAAGTTGAACCTCAAAGTCAGTATCAACGCCAACTTAGTAACGAAGTTTATAAATGACAGCGGAAACTTCAACGTCAACAGCAAGTTTATAATTCCCACTTTACATGAACGCATACGTAACGAAATTGCTACCATTCGTCCAGAAATTTTCATTAACTCACTACAAAATTTTATTCAGCGTCTTTTTTACTGCCAGGAAGTAAATGGAGAGTTAGCAATTATTAATTTATTTCATTTTTGTTTAATAATAATTTATTTTACCGTTTCAATCAGAAAGAAAGTACGAATCAATGAATTCTTAAAAAAACCTATTAAAAATGCATTAATTAAGTATACTAAGCCCTCTTGGCTCACGATGAATAAAAAAAATCATCACAATTGAAGTCGGGTGGGTGGGCGGGGCTTACATGTTGCCTCTTTTTTTTTAATATACGTAGTCATATTTTCACAACTTAAAACAGATGACTGCGTATACTAAGGAAGAAAAGGGCAATATGTCTGCCCCTCCCACCCACCCTATCTCAATCGTGCTATTTTTTTTCCCCGTTGTAAGTAGTGGGGCAAAGCTTAATTGCAAAATTCTTGTTTTTCTAGGAGAAATTGTCTTGGCTCACGACGAATCAAATAATCAAAAATATATGTCGCTTTTTTTTTCATATACGTAGTCATATTTTCACAACAAAAAATTAAAAGAGACGACTACGTATATTAAGAAAAAAAAAAGGCAACATGTATACCCCGCCCACCCGCCCTATCTCGATCGTGATGATTTTTTTTTTCCAGTTGTAAATCGTGAGGCGGAGCTTAATTGCAAAATCCTTGTTTTTCTACGAGAAATTGTCTTGGCTCACGATGAATCAAACAATCAAAAATACATGTTGCTTTTTTTCTTCATATACGTATTTATATTTTCACAACAAAAACTTAAAACAGATGACTCTACGTATATTAAGAAAAAAAGGGAACATGTCTGCCTCGTCCACCCGTCCTATCTCAATCGTGTTGATTTTTTTTTTTAACCGTCGTAAGTCGTGAGGCGGAGCTTAACTGCAAAATCTTTGTTTTTCTACGAGAAATTTTGGCTCACGACGAATTAAAATGCAAGTTGCCTAATATTAAGAAAAAAATATACGTAGTCGTCGTTTGACAACAAAAACTTGAAAAAAATGAAGTTGGTCTTGCATCTCGAACAAAATTTTTTTTGACAAATAATTAGAACAGAACTTCTTGTACTTCTATACCTAATTTCAGTTAATTTGTTCAATTGGTTCTAAAGATATTTAACCGTTTTAGCTTTCGATAGGGTAGTCATTGCAAATTGTTAAATAAACTTGATAGAATGGAAATATGTCATCAGCTATTAATGATTTTTAGAAATCTTTTGTTTGACAGGGAACAATTTGTTGAAATTCCTGGTGTCAAGTCAACACTTTTTGCTGTTATAGCGGTTTACTCAAGGGTCAAACCTGGGTCCGCTGTTGATTACTATTTTTTTCAATGATGTTCTATATTCTATATATGAGTCTCTAAATTTAAACAGTTAATTTTTTCTTTTAAATAATGAATTTCGTCGTCTTTCTGCTGGAATAAATTTTGATAATACTTTCGTAAACACTCGATTTGCGCTAATAATTGTTTTTTTTCCAGCCGTCTTAAAACGATTTATTATAATTTTAAAAATACATAAGGATTATACAGAATTAAAAAAATTTTGGAGGTGGAGAACGTTCATGAAATATTTGATCTATAACTTAAATCATTGGAGTGTTTGTAATAGTTGTCTGTATGAGTTTTGTTTTTGTTCCAGGTTACCAACTAACACAAGAAGGACGCTCCTGAAGAAGAGCCCGGAGTCTAGTTCAAGTTGATAGTCTCACCCCGCCGCCGTTTTATCTGTTGTGCAACCGTTGACAATGTAATCTTGTTATAATGATCTCGTGTTATGCTCATTAATAATTGTTTGTACAGATATATGCTTTTTATGTCTAAAATTAACAACCTTTGCAATTTGTCTAAGTTGCATCCAATTCTCGTTTCACTGGTGCCATTTAACGTTTAAGTTGATAGATGCCAATTGTTGTGGTTAGGGATTTAGTTCGGAAGCGGTCTAGGTTGGCAGCTCAATAACCGGAGACGAAGAAACCATTTTGCGTTTTTTGATTATAGGAAAATTTTTTAAATTTGTAATTTATATTGTAAGGCCAGATTTAATTACGATAAATAATGTAATATAAAAGTTAATATAATTAATGAAGCAGCATTGCGAAGTGTTAATATCGTCGACGTTGTAAATAGTGTTAGATTTAGGTGCTTGCGTACCTTTGTTGAGTTATTTTTATTTTTATTAATTTTTATAATTCACGGTCATTTTATTCTCGTCATATCGGTACTGGTCATAAAATCTACATTTTATTGCCAAGTAGGCATTAAGTTCATCGTCATTTTAGAATAATTTTTTTACTGTAATATTTGTAAAGTGTTTGATGTATGATTGTATATTAAATCAATGTTTTTGACGCTTATTTTCAATTTTTAAAAACCGATTAGTTCAATTGATACGTTACGTTTTTATTCTTCTAAGTTGGGGTAAGTGTTGCGTTGACAATGTTATTTAAGTTACTTACGCCTATAATTCAATATGTATTGATGTGTATGATTTACGAGGAGGCGAAATGTAGATGCAATTATTAGCTCGGGTCGGTCTTTGTGAACATAGGTCTCATGTACATTCATTTCCTTTTTTAGGATCGTTAAAGAAATTATTTATATTTAGAAATTAATTTTTAGGCATTCTAATAACGTCTGTATGCGTTAAGTCATAGTCAATTATTATTTTTAAAACGCTACATGTCAATTTCACAATATTGTGTACCTACCTGTGTATGTAAGACACTCAACGCAAAGTGTATATTTTTGGAGTTCGTTTCAACATGAAAATAGATATTGTGCATATCTATGGTTTAGTTTGTCCACAGAAACACTGTACTTACCTATGCACATGCACATGCAGTGAGTGTACAGTGATAGCCGCTATGTCAGGTGCCTCAATTTTCTTTAAATTCGTTAATATATTATTATAAATACTAATTTTAAGAAAATTATTATATGAATATTATAAATTCACATATTGCTGTTTCACAAAAATAAATGAAAAAACATAAAACGAATGATTTTTATTACACACCCTACCTCAACCTATCCCTTCTTTGCATTTTACCGAAAAAATTAAAAAATAACTTGAGTTGAAAAAAATCCGATCTGTTTTAGAGAATCTTTAATTAACTAAAAATATATTTAAGACTACGGGGACCAGAGGTTTAAATTTTATTAGTGTATTATTGGTTGCGGTATATCAACAACAAATAACTTCCGTTTGTTCGACATTTCATAAATGCTTCAGACTTTCTCCTTATTTTCTTTGCATTTATTTGCTTTATTTGTAGTCTCTGGCTCCTTCACTTCCAAAATTCCGTGTCATTAAAACAAACAAATGTAAGGTATTTCTTTATTTCGGTGTACACCCTTCACAGTCAGCCCTTTTTTTACCCCCGGCCAGCCCTTTTATAAAAATCAACGCGACTTCCGCAGCTGTCAACAAGTGTCCATAAATTTATCTATTTACACTTTTTTTTTTGTTAATATACATGGCCATCTTTTCACAACAAAAAAGTTAGAATATGGTTAAAATGGATATTTCCTTATACAAATTTTCCATTTTAAACATCTTCTAAGTTTCATATTGTGAAAAAAAGCCTACACATATTAAAACAAAAAGGCAAAATATAAGAGCCCGCCCACCCGCCCTATATGAATTGTGATTAAATTAAAAAAAATCATAGAAACTTAAAACAGGTTTAAAATGGTAATTTTTTGTAAAGAAATATGGTTTTTGCAATTAGACTCCGCCCCTAGGTCTGTCAACGAATGAAAAATTCTTCACAATTGGGAATTGAGATCGGGTTGGGTATGGGTGGGGTCCAATCTTTGGCTTTATTTTTTTCTTAATAGACATAGTATTTTTTGGACACGATACTCAAAAACATGTTTTTAATTTTTCGTAGAGCAATAAGGATTTTGCAGTTAAGCTCCACCCCCTTGGCTCACGACGAATATATCATAATTGAGATAGGGCGGGTGGGTGGGGCTCATATTTTGCCTTTTTTTCTTAATATACATGGCCATCTTTTCACAACAAAAAAGTTAGAATACGGTTAAAACTGCACATTTTGGCAAAATGGAAAATTTGTATAAGGAAATCTGGATTTTGCATAATTGCAAAATCCAGATTTCCTTATACAAATTTTTTTTTATAACACACTTATCATTTTCTTTCGGTAAACTCTCACTGAAATAGACGTATATAGCATTTGTTAAATCATAAAATGCGGAAATTCCTGGTACATTCTTAACAGAATCATTAAGGACTAAATTGAGGTTATGTGTAGCGCAATGAACATATTCGGCGTAATGATGTTCTTTCAAGTTCTTCATTTTTTTTATACCATTTTCCCGATTTTTTAATTTTCATTTTCTGAATTTGATATCACAATTTTTCGTTTATTCAATTTTTCACATTTTCAAATCTTCGATTTTCCAATTTTCAATATTTAGATTTTACAATAATTTTCGTGTTTTCGACCGCAATTTTTCGATCTTTAAGTTTCTCAATTTTTAATCTTTCGATTTTTGAATTTTCCATTTCTCAGGTTTTTCGATTTCTCGAAGCTTTCATTTTATACTTTTGCGTTTTTTCATTTTGAGTTTTCAATTTTACAATTTTTCTATTTTATAACTTTTCCATTTTGTTTATTCGTGAAGTAGAAAATTGTAAAAATTGAAAAATCGGAAAATTAAAAAATTGGAAAAAATTGAAAACACAAAAAATTGCAAAATCGATAAAACGGAAAATCGAATGGAATTTGTTTTTACGATTTTTTAACTTCGATTGTTTAAATTTTTTAATCTGTATTTCAATTTTTCGATTTTTGGAATTTTCTGTTTCTCGTATCTAGGTTTATCGATTTTTTTGAGTTTTTCGATTTTTCCGTTTATCTTTTTTTTAAATAAATATTTCAATTTTGAATTTTCCGATTTCGGCCTATTTCGATTTCTCGATCTTTTGAAGTCTTAAGTTTTCGATTTCGATTTCTTGATTTTTCGATTTTCAAAATTTTCGATTTTTCTAGTATATATTTTAAATTTTCGATGTTTTAAATTTTTCATTTGTCCCTTTTATAATCTTTATGTTTCGATTTCCCAATTTAATTTTTTAATGTGTTTCAATTTTTCCATTTTTGGAATTTTCGATTTCTCATATCTCAATTTTCCAATTTAAAAAATTTTTCGATTTCTCGATTTTTAAGTTTTCGCTATTTCAATTTTAAACATCGCAATTTTGGGAATTTTGCAATTTCTATATTTTTCAGATTTTCGATATTTTCATTTTCCCGATTTTGTAATTTTCATTTTCTTGATTTTATATCACAATTTTTCATTTTTCCATTACCTTTATTTTTTCAATGTTTCTTTGGATTTTATAATTTTTTGTTTATTCAATTTTTTACATTTTCAATCTTTGATTTTTTAAGTTCGTGATTTCCAATTTTTTTATTTTTCGAAGCTTTCATTTTGTACTTTTTCATTTTACAATTTTTCTATTTTATAATTTTTCGATTTTGTTTATTCGAAAAGTTAAAAACTCGAAAAACTGAAAAATTGAAGCAATGAAAAACTAAAAACCGAGAAACTTAAAAATCTAAAAAAAATTAATGAATCGAAGAATGGGAAAGAAGAAAAACCATTCGAATTGAAAAATTGGAAAATCCAAAAATTGTAAAATCGAAAAATTATAGAATCTTGAACATTGTAAAGTCCAAAAACTGTGACATTCAAACACCGAAAAATTGAAAAATTCCAAAAACGAAAAACTGAAAAAGTGAACAACTTTAAAAATTATAATTATTAGGAGTGTTACATAATTGAAATGAAAACTAGAAAAACTGTAAATGGAAAATTAAAAAAACGGAAAATTGAAAGCCTAAAATTGAAAAAATAAAGAAAATTAAAAACCCACACGAAAAATTGCAAATCGAAAAATTGACGAAATTAAAAACTGAAACTCGTGAAATTTGCAAACTCTAAAATTTGAAACATCTAAAAGTTGGAAAATCAAAAACTGAAATATCGAGAAATCGAAAATTTTCAAAACGGAAAAGTCGAAAGATTGAAAAATCGAAATTTTGGAAAATCGAAAAACCGAGGAATCCAAACTGAAAAAAGATCGAGAATTCAAGATGTCGAAAAATCTAAATATCTAAAATTTAAAAAATAGAAAAATTACAATAACGAAAAATTTAACACAAAATCAAAAAGTCGAAAAATCGAGAAATTGAGAAATGGAAAAATGAAAATTTAGAAAAACCAAAGATTCAAAAGCATAAAAATCGGGAAATCGGAACGTAAAAAAATAAAATCGAAAAATTGAAAAATTTTAAATTTAAAAATTCGAAAACTTGAAAAACCGAAAAACTGAAGAAATGAAAAACTAAAAAATCGACAAATTGAAAAATCTCAAAACTGAAAAGTCGAAAAATTGAAAAACCCAAAAATCGATTTCCGGTAAGTCGAAAAATCAAAATTTAAAAAGTTGAAAAATGAAAATATCAAAAATTGAAAAACATAGACATTCTCAAAATTGAAATGTTGAAAAATTGAGAAATCGAAAACTTGAAAAATCCAGAAATCGAAAAAAAGAACGAAAAGTAAAAACATTGTAAAATCGAAAAAGCGATAAATCGAGATGTAAGAAATCGAAAATTCCAAAATCGAAAAATTGGAATACACTTAAAAAGGTTAAAATCGGGAGATCGAAGCATAACAAAACACAAAATCGAAAAATGGAGAATTTTAAAAATCTAAAAACTTGAAGAAATAAATAATTGAAAAATGGAAAAGCCGAGAAATCGAAATTAAAAAATTGAGACATCAAAAGATCCGAGAAATGGAGAAATCGAGAAACCGGAAAATTTAAAACTGAAATACATATTTAAACTTAAAAAAAAACGATAAATCAAAATATTCAAAATTCGAAAAATCAGAAATTTTAAAAATCGAAATATCGAGAAAGAGAATTGGAGAAATTGATTAATAGAGAAATTGAGAAATGTAAAAATGAATTTTTTTTTTAAATTGCAAAAATTGTAAAACTGAAATATTGAAAAATTAAGTAAACTAAAAATCGAGAAATTAAGAAATCGAAAAATTGTAATTCAATTTTGTTTTATTTTTCCACAAAAATTTCGATGTCGAAGATAAAAATTCAACACGGATTCATAAACCATAGGTACACTGTTACTTTTTTTTTTAATTCATATAACATTTATTTGACAAAATTGAAATTTGAAAAACTAGAAATCGAGAAAAAATTAATGAATCAAAGAACGAATTCAATCGAAAAATGTTTGTAAAGTCCAAAAACTAACATTCAAGTTAGAGTTAATGAAAATTTCTGGACGAATGGTAGCAATTTCCTTATACAAATTTTCCATTTTAAACATGATTTAAGTTTCATATTGTGAAAAAAAGTCTACACATTAAAACAAAAAGGCAAAATGTAAGCCCACCCACCCGCCCTATCTCAATTGTGATGATTTTTTTCATTCGCTGTGAACCAAGAGGGTGAAACTTAACTGCAAAATACTTATTTCTTTCCAAGAAATTAAAAACATGTTTTTGAATATCGCGTTCTTCAAAGAATACTATGTACATTAAGACAAAAAGGGCAAAATATAAACTCCACCCACCCACCCCATCTCTATTGTGATGATTTTTTTATTCATAGAAACCTAGAACACGTTTAAAATGGTAATTTTTTGTAAAGTACCTTAGCACGTACTAGCTCCGCCCACCCGCCCTCTCTTTTCTTAGAGGATATCTTATTTGCCAAAATCACTGTTATTTTAACAAGTACTAACCCCACCCGACCACCCTTTCTCTTCTTAGAGGGTTTCCCATATGCCAAAATCAGTTTTATCTTAGTAGGTGCTAGCCCCGCCCACCCGCCCTCTCTTTTCTTAGAGGAAATCTCATTTGCCAAAATCACTCTTATCTTAGCAGGTACTACCCCCACCCACCCACTCTCCGTTGTTTTAGTAGGTATGCCAT